TGCATTTGTTTTACTTCCTTTTGTTTTCATAACTTGTGTGGCCACAGGACACAGAAAAAAAACCGTTCGTTACAATATTTTTTTTTTTTTTTTTTGATTTAGGTATTTGCGCGTCAAATCGCCAATGGCGCCAAATGTTGAAAATGCAGCGCCAAAGCCACAAATAATACTTTCCGTATGAGTTATGTTAGCTGAATCACAATGCATGGGATTAGGCATTGGTTCGGTGTGAAAAATGCAGCTTTTGTGTTATTTTTATATGAAAAACAAGAAACGGAAAAGTAACTTACAGGTTGAACTATTGTTCTGCGTTGTGTAAAGAGCAAAGAGCTAAAGCAAAGGATAAGTACTGTCTTTATAAATAAATGCGTCATAAAAATGGAACGATTGTCACTAAATTCTAAAATAATCATTTTATTGTGCACTTTATAGGAAAGTGCAGTTTTAATCATAAATAACAAGCATTTAAGCAAAAATTAAAAAAAAACCGTAAAGTTCCCAAGATGACATTGTACAGTCTCCTAATTTTTCTATTACCACCCTTAAGATCTCATCAACCCCCAAGAACTGGCATACAAAAGCATCTACCACGTATTTACTTAAGCTGGGTACTGCTTAACCAGCAAATTGTTTGAGTTCTATGCAGTTTCAAACTGGGAAATAATTGCCATTTTCTGTTCAAATTGGCCGCCTGCAATAAGATTTAAGGGCAGTAGGTAAATCCCTGTGATTGCCTCTTGAATCCACCTTAATGACGCTCGACACTATCAAGCGTTTTTCATATTATCTTACTCTGATGATCCTTTTTGCCATTTTAATGTCATTTTCATAATACGACGCGGCACCTTCACATTTTTATTATGTTCAGAGTGGCCTGGGTAAATCTCTTTATCCACCCACCCGAGACTTTTACAAACTTTTATGACGCGCTCTTCAAAGTCACTTTTGCTCACTGTGGAGCTGACATCGCAAATGCGTATTTAATTCCACTTGTGTAGCTTTTGCCACGCCCACTCCATTGGGCGGAGCGATTGTTGTTGATGCGTTAACATTAATAAATGTCAGCGCGTTTTCCGCTGCACTGTCAAAAACTAAGACTGCCTCATCTGGATTACGTTTTACATACTAGATAGTTTTGTGACTTAATCAGGATAATTCGGTAACCAATATTTTACTTTAATTAGTTTCCTTTGCTTGCATTAGTTAGTAGTTACTTAATTAGTAGTGAGTAGAGGTAGAAAAACATTACATTTTAACTAATTGCTTGTGATTTAATATCCAATGTATATTTCGTAGCGTTCCTAGTTCCACATATACATTTTTCCCAAGTGCCAGAACAAACAGATGGTGATTGTCAAAGCTTCTTAAATTAATTAGTGTAATTTTTTATCTCAGTCAATCTTGCCGTCTCCTTCACAGACTCTCTGTTTGAAAAGTGGCTGACAAGTAGATTTTCGTCATGGGCCATTTTTCTTGGGGCTATCGTGACCAAATAGAATTCCTCAGGCATATTGCATGCGTTCGTTTGGGCCTTTGGGCCATAATCGGCTTAAATGCCAGGGAAATGAAAGGAACATATAGGTTGCTCGTCGCCTCAATCAATCAGACTAATGATCAATTTCAATTAACTTTAATCTGCAATTAAAAAATCAAATAAATGCACATACGCCCAGGGCAGCATGACTTTTTGATTTCCTGCCAATGGGGGGAGATGGTTGGTAAATTATCCTTTTGGGCCAACTAAGCTGCAACTTTCTGTGACTAACACACATACACAACCATGTGTTAGCCAGGATTTTGCTTTGGCTTCGCCTGCCATTTTCTAGTTCATTTTTTTTCCGCAAACCTCTTGCAAATTTCGTTCGATACTAGCAACTTTTCAATTTGCCTCTGATGGGAAATCAGAACGAGGGAAATCCAACTACATATTTGCCTTCAATTTAAGTGATGAGAACATCTCGTTTCTGCCAATTTCCCCCTCCCGTCCTTCCTTAAATAACTCAATTATTTATATATTTGCTCGGAATTTGCCGAACTTTAGTGAAGCGAGTTAAAAAGAGGAGGGGCTTTAGCAAACTCGGACTAAGCAGCTCAGCCGAAAGTTTGTTTAACCGATTTATTAAGCAATTAGAAAGGAATGGAAAGGAAATGAATGAGACTACATATTTGCAGTCCTATTTCGAAAGTAAGCCAATGCATTTCTATCTAGCTACAATATTTGTTTATTTCCGTTTAAACTATTTAAGTCATTTTTTTTATTTCGTTTGCAATTGTTCAACAACAATTGTTCAATTGTTTTTTTCGTATTGGAAACATGAATAAAATGAACCGAGGGGCAACAACCAATTTAACAACATTTATTTAAAATTAAACAGAGAATTCCATTTAAAATGTCATTATATAACAAGCATTTGTAGGCAAACTTATGGTATGCAAAACAAGTGAAAAAACAGTGACCTGTTTTTGTCAGTTGCCTAAAAACCACCAAGTTGAAATAAATCGAACCAAAAAAGCCGCAAAATTGGGACACAAAAAACTAAACATAAAATAAATAAAATACGACTCGATGGCACTGACATATTCCGCAATCATTTGATTGCAACTTGCAATAAAAAGGCAAACACGACTTGCTCCACATTCAATGGCAAACAAATGAATGCAAATGGCCAGAAGGGCAGCAAAAAACTAAAAAAAAAAATGGTAAACAGAAAAGAAAGAATACCAGTGCTCAAATGGCAGATGATGCATCCTTCAGTGACTTTCGATATCCTCAGTATCCCACTCATGCGGATACCTACTAAAGGAAAGTAGAAATTAAAAACACTCAAACTGTGTGTTATCCAGTCAGCCACTAGAGAAAGAGATTGGAGATTGCCAAAGGATCTGAATCGGACCAAGGATAAGTGCATAAGTCCTGTCGGAAATCAAGCAAAAAACAAAAAACACAGCTGGGGAAATCAATATTATGCAGACTGGCAGACAAGTAGATATCATCCTACCGCTCCATGCGATGAGTGGAATGAGTGAGTTCAACTGTTCAACTGTTGCACAGACACTTTTCACCGGTTGAAATTGCCACTTGACAAATTTCCCCATGCCCCATGCCCCATGCACCTCATCATACATCATGGAACTTTTGCGGGAACTTGGTCCTGCAGGAAAATAGCCCAAATATCTAAGAAGAGAAAAGTTTTCGCTGCCACGGAACCATGGAACTTGACCAACCATTTCACATGGCTAATCGTCAAATACCAGGGACATGCGATCTCGATTCCCCGACATGTCTCTCTCATTAAAAAGTAAAATAAACAAGCGCAAAAAAAAAAACTTTTTCGAATCAAATGCGAACTGCAGCAACTGAAAGCAACAGCCAAAAACAGTGCGGGAAAAATAGGGGGGAAAAAAATAGTAGAGCAAAACCACTTGAGAAAGCAGCAAAAGTTTTCCATTTATAACGAGCTCTGGCTCTCCAGTGGACTTCAGAGGGCAGAGTTCAGGGAGCAAATGGCTGGATGGATGGCCTGACTGCTGTACAAATAGAAACAGAACCAACCGGCTGGCTTAGTCATAAGCGAGAGTTGAACGCGAGTTTTTGCCAGGACATACATACATGTGCACTGAGAGAATATTATCGCTGCCAATGTCTGGCCAGAAAAAAGTTATTAGTTCTGTTCAATCTAAAAAATATATATATTTTGACTCAAGAATGATACGCAATCGATGTCATCTTCGATTTTGTCTCATATATGGTTTTCTAGAATAAACTTACCGATTTGCAAGGGGTTTTTTTTGCAGTGCCACCATTTAGGAGGCCATGTATCTTCTGCTGTCTCATTTTCAATGTGTGCTTGGCAAAACTTTAAATGTGGCGGTAATGAAATTGTTGGCAGCAAATGTTGTCAACACTAATACTTAAATACCACCATACCATATATGTGGACACATACGGGCTCCACATAAGGACCCACACTCAGACAGACATCATCAACACCATTTTATGACATGGTTCCGGTGGAGCGGCATCCTGCAGATTCACCAAAGCCGAAAAGTTCTGCAAAATGCTAACCCAACTGAAACAACAAATATTCCAGCAACTTTAAGAGAAAACTGCTTTGGGCTTAGAGCTAAAGATACACTTTGCTGTTGCTTCTTGTTTCTGGCTTACAGAGTATGTGAGTCACTTAAGATTCCAATTCGATTATGGGAAAAGTTTTAATGGCATATTAAGAGGACTTTAAAAGCGGGTTATTTCATGGGCTTATACAAATGTCATTTAAGGATTAGTTATTTCTTTAGCAATGAAATATTGTAGTTTCAAGCTCAATGAAATCAATTCACATTTCCCTTTGGGTCGAATACAAAAAGTTCCTAAGTTTCCAGCCGCATTAACATTCAACTTTTTAACAAAAAAAAAAGCTATTATTTTTCATAACACCCATTCGACCATCTAATATGAGCAAACTAGTTCAAAACCGGCAGAAAATAACCAATTGCACTTCGAAACCAAATTTATTAGTTTGTTAATTAGTTGGCTGGTTATCTGTGTAAACCAATTACGGAAATAAAGTGCGGATGTGCTACCACTTACTAATATGATTTCTAGTTAAGGAGTTTATTAATTTGGCAGCTGTTGTGTTGATGTAAATCAATTGAATTCCATTTTATTGCGTTAATCATGCAGACAATCAATGCAGATTATTTCCAAGAATTAACGAGCTGGTTAAGTTTTGCGTTTAATTAGCCGCTTAAATCATTTAAGGCGCCTTAGTTTTACCTCAAATTATACAGTGCATAATTCAGGGAACAGCTGTGAGTTGAACTTGAGCTCATCACTTGAATAGCAAGCGGATTATTATCATATTGGAGTTAAATGAATATTCACTTTGCGGAATGTGTCCTTTAACACAAATGAAATGTGAAGCTCAGCACGCTTAATAACCAAAAAAAATATATAAAAAAGGTTTATGAATACCCTTACAAAGCAGCCCTTGAAAACAACTTCTGGCTGTTAATAATTCAGCCTGACGGGTTTGGAACACAGTCTCAGTTAACCCCATGCTTCGAAAGTGTCGTGTGCCTAGTCCCGTTTTGGAAAACATAGAAAAAAATCAGTAGAGTTTTCATCAAAATTTCTTGTCGTATTTCGTGTCTTGTGTTTCATGTTCGTGAATTAAGTTGTATACTTGTCATTGAAACGATTGAATCGCGAATACGCCGTGTATAGCGAAAGTAGCACTTATTTGGTGAATACGAAATTTGCAGTCGTAACTAAATTTGGTCCGAACAGTCGAAGTATAGATAATAATTGAGAATTCATAATGAACAAACTGCGAAGCGTTCTGAAGTCAGTGGCCCAGCGTCCTCTGCCGTTCAATGTGATCCAAATACGAACTGCATGCGGTGGAGAGTCCAAGGCGGCAAAGGGTCTTGTGGTTGGAGTTTATCAGAAAGAGAACGATAATGACCCCAAACTGACGCCAGCTGGCGAAAAGGTCAACGATCGGCTGCACGGCAAGTTGCAGGAGTTGATTTGCGAGACCAAAATCACGGGTCATTTGGGCAGGGGCAAGGTGTTCAACAACATTGATCCCGAATTTCGCAGTATGGCAGTGGTTGGTGTCGGCCTCGAGGGCATCGGCTTCAACGAACTGGAAATGCTCGATGAGGGCATGGAGAATGTACGTGTGGCGGCTGGAATTGGGGCGCGATCATTGCAAAAGATTGGCGTTTCGGAGGTCTTTGTTGATGGCATGGACTATGCCGAACAGGCGGCCGAGGGCGCCGTTTTGGCCATTTGGCGGTATTGTGACATGAACTCCAAGAGGAAACCACCGCACATCCCCAAGCTGGAGCTGTATGAATCTCCGGACTATGAAGCTTGGACCAGGGGTGTCTTCAAGGCGGAGGCTCAGAATTTGGCTCGCAGGATGTGCGATACACCTGCGTGTTGCATGACACCAACACTGTTTGCCCAGGCCACAGTAGATGCACTGTGTCCTTGTGGCATCACCGTGGAAATCCGCACCATGGAGTGGATTGAACAGCAGCGCCTACATTCCTTCCTCATGATCGCCAAGGGCAGCTGTGAGCCACCGGTCCTGATGGAGATCACCTATTGCGGCACCAATCCAGAGGACAAGCCCATTTTGTTCCTGGGCAAGGGCATCACCTTCAACTCGGGCGCCATGAATCTGAGGCAATGCAGGGGAATGGAGGAGTACAGGGCTTGCATGTCGGGAGCTGCATCCTGTGTGGCCATGATGCGATGCGTGGCGGCCCTATCCTTGCCCATCAATATCTGCTGCATCATTCCGCTGTGCGAGAACATGCCATCGGGAATGGCCTGTAAGCCAGGCGATGTGGTCACCCTGATGAATCACAAATCGATGGCTGTGCGAGATCTGGACAAGGCCGGTGTGGTCGTTATGGCTGATCCCCTGCTCTACGGGCAGAGCACGTACAAGCCACGCTTGGTAGTCGATGTGGCCACCTTGGGTTCGGGTGTGAAGAAGGCTTTCGGCGGCGGAGCCACCGGTATATTCTCCAATTCGCATTACATCTGGAAGCAGTTCCAGTCCGCAGGAGCTCTGACTGGCGATCGAGTTTGGCGTTTGCCATTGTGGAATTATTATAGGAAACAAATCACCGATGAAATGGGCTATGATTTGAGCAATGATGGTCGAGGATTGGCGAATTCATGTCTGGCGGCAGCGGTCCTCCACGAACTGGTACCCTGTGTGGATTGGGCTCATCTGGACACCCGGGGCACTGGATTGCTGACAAAGTTTGGACTGGTACCCTATCTCACCGCAAAGTACATGACGGGCAGGCCAACTCGCACTCTGGTGCAGTTCCTCTACCAAATGGCCTGTCCCGCCAACCAAAAATGAATTAGGATTTAATATGCAGTCGGCGTAATCCGATCGGAATCAAAACCGAATTGCCTAGAAGTGCACAGCGCAGATATTTATTGTCCAATGTCAGAACGTTTTGTGAAGATTTCTGTGGAGTGTCCAAAGTTGTCAAATTTGTTGTGAGATGTATAATAACATAAAGTGCTTTTTAAAATGCAACATTTTGCCTTTCTTTACGTTCGATTAAAGTCTAAAAGGCACACCTGCCCCATTGGCTAAATTAAAGACCTCAAGGACGAATAATGGTTATCGTACTAGCACATGTTTCCTCCCAATTAGACAAACAAATTTACCCAATTTTCACACATTTGACACGTTCCAGCCATTCCGAAGGCCTGAATTGGGGGATTTGGGAGCATGGGAGCATGGGATGGCTAAAAGGATATTTGCATATCCACATGAGCTCGCCTCGCCTCGCACTTAGCCGCGTGTCTTTGTTGATGAAATTGCTCCAGGATATTACTTTGAATTATCATAAATAACCGAGGAAAGGCGATGGCAACGCCAATGTCGATATGTGTGTATCCTGCGGTTGGTGAAAGGATCAGGTGTTCCTTGCAGCACAGTCAAGGGTCGGATATTAAGCCGCGATGGTTTCTTGCTGTCTGCAATATGTATTAGAATTTTAAGAGTATTCGCAGAGTGAAAAGTTTCATTGTAACTCCTCACCCAATTGCTTAAAACGTCTTTTAATGTGGATTTTCTTGCTGTTTTACATCACTTCCCTTACATTTCAAAACCAAAAGCCGCGAGAAAGTTGCCAGCATGCCGGAAAGTTGTTTAAAAGCTGTGCAAGCAAATCGACAATCGGTTAATATGCGTTTCAGATTGCCAATTAAAAGTGTTTGTACGCGTCGAAGTATTGAAAACATCGCGGAAGTTTCGGCTTCCTTTCTTACGGCTTTTAAGGATTTTCCATTGATTGGCATTTAAAATTTCATTAAAATACTTTTCCGTTGACACAAGAATACTTTCGCGCAATAAACGAACGACACTCTCCCCGAGATGGTATTGTATGTACGAGTATATTTATTTCATTTTTATGGCTCGCCTTTCTTCCAAGCGAACGGATATTAACCATTTTCGTCATTATCCAGTGGACAGCAGTTACTGCTTAACACGTGACCGTTGGACATTTATCTATAGATGTTCGCTTATGGAAAAGCCTTGGTCTTTGGTCCTTTGCTCCTGTGGTCCTTTGCTTCTGGCCACACGTTCAGGCCGCAACGTTTTCAATTTATTTCGTTTTCCATGTGCGGGCGTGTTGGCAGCCATTAAATATATTGGATTGCACACAAACCGAATTAAATTCGCATTTTCCTGGCCAAGAGTGCCGAAAGTACAACGAAAAATTAACATAATTTACTTCACTCTTTTATGGCCTCGCTGGTTAAGTCAAGAATAATTTGTTTGTCAACAAAAGGCCAAATTCAATTACAGTGGCCCAACGACAAAGCCTCTTTCGAACTTGAGCCACAAAAGCCAAGTGAACACAATGGGCTTAGGATATACGTATGTGCGAGTATATGCCGCCCGTCATATGTGAGTGGCCGGGAAAAATGTGGAAAACCGAGAGGAAAAATCGGTAGATTTAGCCAGAATTTTAAAGACTAAAGGCCATAAAAGAGAGGGTTATGTGTGCATGTAACTTTTTAATTTGATTTGCTCTTGCCCACACTTTTTCACAGCTTTTTAATTTCTTACTTTTCTCCTTTTAATTACGCAAGGAAAAAGTTTTTCACATCTGCCACCGAACTCACATCTGCACCCTGATAACTTGATCAAAGTTTTTTTACTGGCAGATTGACTGAAACATTTTTTACGGCAGTGTTTCAGCACAAAGGAATATTCAATCATAGAACTTTATTGTGGTTAACAAGAAAGTATTGAGAATTAAATAAATAAATATGTGGAAAATACACTTTATCAAATTTTTTAACAAATACGCCGAAAAATGAAATAGGGAGTTATTCTGTGCTTAAAACTCTTGTGACTGTGCATTTGATTGTTTGCACTAAAATCATAAGGCTTTTAGATATCTTAAGAGATAGAATCTGTAAGTTGCAAGTAATATTCACGGTGTATTTCTGCATGTCGAAAAGCAAAGTGTCAACTTCCATACGGTTGAATGCTTTTGACGTTGGTTAAACTTAGTTTGCTGCCAATAAATCAAATTCTCAATCACATCAAGCTGAGAGCATCGAGCCAATTTTTACCATGCCACTTCCCAGCCCCACGCCCACTTATCCGCCCACTTATCCACCCACTTATCCGCCCCCAAAAACCACGCCCAACCGAAGGCCGTTAATCAATCAAATAGAGAAATAGTGAGATGGAGAGATGGAGAGCAGCCAAAACTCAAACCGAAATGGGGACAAACTGAGGCAAAGTATGGTTTTCACATATGCACGTATGCATGTGACAGAGTTTAAAGGTTTTGGTTGATACCGAACCTAATTGAAGCGAACTTAATTAGGATCAATGGGGTTCTATAAATCTGAATTCGATAGAGAAGGCCTTGTTAGTGGCTTACCAGGGAAACATCTGCGCAAACATGCCGGAGAACTCAAACCCAAATGCCATCAAACGTTGCCAAGTCAGACGACATCGCACTGCCAGTGGCAATAATCGCAATTTAATATTCATGGCATTCTCACAGCCAATGTATTTGGCGAAATTTCGCCACGAGCTGCAACTTTCGACGGAGCTCAAGAAAGTCCTGCGGACACTTCAACATGAGTACTTTTTTATTCACTTTTCTGTTTCTTGCCAGGCGACAAAAAAGTAATGTGGCAAGAAGTGTGGGGCGCACTAAAGGAACGTAGGAAAATCACTTGCTAACCATAAGTGTTTGCCTCAATAAGTTCGAGTTCTGAAGTCAGTCAAATAGTTAATTTAACCTTAAGCAAGCGGTTTTGAGATATTATTGAAGTGTGTCCTGCTAAGTTTAAATGACTGTAGTTTTTAAATGACTTTTTCTTAATGCTTAGCTAATTTGTTATTAGTGTGTCGCCTGTGCAGTTATCATGCTATGAATCCACTGGCAGTGTTTTTGCAGCGATGTCATACTTTCAATAAGCAAAGAACCCAATTTTTCCGACCTCTCCCCCCACCTAAGGCTCCCGTTTTTCCCTTGAGTCAACATGAAGCAACCAGGCTGACACCCTTTGCTCATCTGTTATTTATCATACTGTGCCATATCCTGGCACTCCCCTCGTCCATTTGCCATCCATGGATGCCCACTACGTGGGGGTTTTCCTTCTGGCTCCTTTGACTTCCTCCCTGGCCTTTTGTGTGTTGTTCGTGGGTGTTTTGTGTAGAGAGAGAGTGGCATTCTTTTGGCTTTACACATTTTTTTCGAGCACTTCCGCTCGCTGCCTTCAGCTTCTTTCTCTAGTCCTTCGACTAAGGCCAGTAGTGCTAGTAGTTTTGTTAGCTGATTTTCTTTCAGCGATAAGCGGGGCGGGCCATGTAGTTTTCTCCTCATGTCCCACCACTCTATGCCATATACACAAGGAAACAAATTGGAAGAGAATCATTATTTTCAAACATTTCCATTCATTCTGGTTTATTAAAATTTGTAAAATATTAAATGATAAAAACATGAACGTATCTTTTCTTCAATATTTCCACGCGGCAACTTAATATTTTCTTTGTGTAATTCCGACAATTTTCACTTATACATTGGTGCAATTTTTCCTTCACTTTCTTTGGCCTCTGGCTAAATTTATGACTACTGACGATTCCGAGGTCTGCGAATTAGTTCTCCCCTTCGAGTTTGCCCCGAGTTTTCCGGATTTTCCGCCCCTGGGCATTATCAACGCATCAGCTGCTTATGCTGATTGGCGTATTAATAACAGGCTTGTTCGCTAACTGATTTTGGCGCCATTTGCCCCAGGAGGAATTGGGGAAATAGTTTGGGTTGATTTCATTGGTTTATCAATCCCAAGACTGGTGTCTTTTGAATTTATTATCGAAGTGAATGGGAATATTTCCTTTTGCTCTACCGATAAGTTTGGAATTTGGCTTCAACTCAATATTCTGTTGGCCTCTATTGTTTGCATACTTTGTGGTAGATATTTTGAGCAGCCACAGACAAATGATTAATGATTTCTAAGAACACTTCCATTGTTTAATTTACTGCCGCCTATACACACAATTTGGCTTATTGCCGTAATAGCCCTAGGAGAAAGCCAAACTAAATGCCCATAATGAGCAAGCATCTGGCCTAAAGTAAACAATTGCGCTGACCTCCTAAATAATTGCATAATTAATAATGGAAATTAAATGGAAATTTTTAGCAGAAATGTTGGACGTTTGACAGTGTGAGCCATGGCAAATCTCTTTGCATAATTGAAGTCACTCTGGAGCGTGTTCCACTTTTGGGGAAGCTGGCCAAAATGTCGCATTCGTTTCCGCCGGATGCAGCGCTCCTCCTGGCCGGACTTTTTCCTCGGTCCAAGGACCAGACCGGAAGCCGTCGCACAAAAAGTTTCCATTCATCCCGGCTTGCTAAATTTGACAGGGAAATCTTGCCCCTTGCCCATGGAAGCCAAATTAAAAATGTCCACTCACTTCAGGACCCACAATGGACCATAAATTTGACTAGTTTGTGTCTGGATGTGCGGAGCTTGCTTGTTTCCTGATGTTTTTGTATGTATCTATTTTGTTGTTTAACATGAAAATCCCTTTATACCTTGACAGCAGCTGTTAAATTCAAATTCAAGTTTAATAACCCTTTCCAAAACTAAAAAAGACTCTATTTTCCAAATTTAATAAAAAATAAAATGCGAACAATAGATAAGCACATTTTCTTCAAGCAGTCTCACAGGATAAACTTATTTTAAATTTTTCCTTAGTTTTCCAGTGCTTTTATTTTGGTGACGTGACTTTCACAGAACTTTTGCTCATCTTTTCCCCTAAATTTACCCATCGCAGTGCTGTTTTAGCTGCTTTTCTCGTTGTGAGTATTAGCCACATTTCCGAATAAACTGAAACGCGAATTAGCCCGAGGCAGATTTAGGTGGCGTTTACTATGGTAAGGCCGTTGTTTTTCTCGCCATTGTTGCTTTGCCATTGACGACACTTCAAAGTTGCGTCTCCCAGAATTTTCCAGCCAGAATTTTTCACCACCGCTGGGTAAAGGAAAAGTCGTTAGC